TGCTTGTTCAGAACAAATTCATGCTATTGGTGAGAAACAGCATTAATCGTATTCTGAGACCTGTATGAACTGAGACATTTTGGATGGTGCTGTTCCCTCCTTTACTTTCCCACTGCTGACAAACTCTTTTGAAGGAGTTTCTAGTTTTCTACAGCCTTTGTTTTCAGGAATTAAACTGTCCAGGCTGACTGAAGAACTGCCTTGAGTGGCTCTCCCTCAGACATTTGCCCAGATGTTTTATTGCCTTTACGTTCTGGCTCCTGAAAAGCTTGGCCAGTGCACAGGGCTTTTGCCTCCTGTTTAAATCCCAGTAACCATGGTGCATTCTGCTTGTGTTGAGGGACACACCTGGAACAGGCAGCTTGGTTTGCAAACTGCAGGTTGGGCTCTGCGTGGGAGCCCAGAGAGACAGGACAATGTGACCTGTGACTCTTCGTGTGACAAGGGAGGAGGACCTGTGGCACAGCTGGGTGTGGGACAGCCAGAGTCAGAGCAGGAGCCCAGGGCTCAGGAAGAAGAGCCAGAGCTTCTCTGTACTCAGGCTGTGGAGGGATAAAAGCCCAGGGACCCCAGCCTTTGTGGGGTCCCTCCTCAGAGGCACAGGCTCAGGCTGTGTCACTGTGCTGGGAATAAATGTCATTATGGAATGAGATATCTGAGACTCTGCCAAGGGAAACCTGTGCTGGAAGCAGTGAGGAGACCTGCTCTGGCTGTGAGTGGGGAGTCAAGAGGGGACCTGGATCCCAGCAGTGACAGTGTGGGGTGGTGGGAGTGTGCCTGACAGTCCCACAAATGGTCACAAGGAGGTTCCCTTAATAGTTGCATGCCCACAAGAGTGAATCCTTTAATCTTTTTGTGGTTACTAGAGATTAAACCATGCAAAGAGCTGTCTGTGGAAAAGAATGAACTGATTGAGATTAACACAGTACAGGTGATGGTTTCAGTATTTCAGATTTAGTTATACGTTTTCCTTTAAACTCCTTCTGCAGCTTTGGTCCTCTCAACTGCTACCCCTAAATCTGTCTACTCCTAAATGTCTTCTGCACATTTTCCCTATTATGTGACTTCTTCTGTCTCTTTCTTATGGGATCAAATTAATTTTTGCTTCTTTGTTGCTTAACTCTATTCCTCACTCGTCTCCTCTGTGCTGATGAATTCTGCCATGAGGATTTTTAAGAGAAGATAATATTAGAAAGAACCTTGACATCTTTGAAAGATGCCTCTGAAATGAAGGCTTAGGGTGTTCGGAAGAAATACATTCTTGGCAAGGGCGAGACTCAAAGCTATTGAACCTGTGAATTGATTCTTAAATTTTCTTTCTACATTGCCATTCATCCAAGTTTACCCTGCTGAATGGAAAGGAGCAGGAATATCCAGGTGATGACAGGCTGGAGGAAGCAGGTCCACTGACAAAATGATTCCCTGAGATGAACCTTTGTGCTCTGTGGATATAAAGGCTGAACCTTGTCACTGGCTCTGGACTTTTAAACACTGACCTAATGAGATTTCTCATTAGTTTGTGGTGACTTACATGAGCTTAAAGTTGTAGCCAAGGTTGGGAGGTTTATTTTAAATTTAAATGCTTGAGAGAGGGGTGAATGTAGTCTTGCTCTGTAAGTCAGGGTTGATAGTGCTGCTCATGTGTTGGAGCTCTCTGGAGCTATATCCTGAACAGGAAAGGAATCTGGGGGCATGTGCAAGGATTTTTTGACAGCCTGAATTGCAGTGCAGTAAGAATGAATGATTAAATTACAGACGTCTCTTTTGGTGCATCTTTTTTGTGTGTACAAAGGCTCATCATATCTTTGGTTCTTTGCTACTTGCTTGAAATGAATTTTCTACCATTCAGTAAAATCTAGTGAAGTCAGGATCTTAATAGTCAGATGCACTCCCATTCTTCTGAACCCACAAATACATTTCTTCGTTGTGTAGATTACAATTATAGCTGTAACTGCTGCTCCCATTGACATGCTTGTGTTGCTGGCATTAACTGGCTGCCAATTTTGCTGGGCAGTGAAGCAGAGCAGGGTTCAGGCTGGGCTTAACCTCCTCAGTATTCTCCCAGTTTCTTGCACAGCTTTTGCAGCACTTACCACGTTACGTGTTGTCAATGCTAGTCAGAGGAAAAGAAAATCAAATAGCCATGACTTATTTATTAGACCATTTTTTCCTACAGATTCTGAATGGAGCTCAGAATCACTGATCATTCAAGCGATCAGATTGCCAGACATGGATAAGGCATGTAATAATTAAACTCTGTCCTCTTTCTGCCTCCAGCTCCATGGATTTCCATTCCCATTTTCTAATGGCTGGAACAGCCACCTTGCAGATGCTTTCCTAGCACACTCACAATGTGGGCCTTTAATACTAAGGAAATGCCCATCATTGCTGGTTGATTGATGTAACAACAGCAGTAATAAATGGAGAGCTGTATAGTTTGAAACCAAAGCAAAGACTTATCTCAGAAAAGCTGGTTTAACTTAGCCTAGAAAGAATTTTATTAGCAGCAGAATTTGACTGCACAACATTCTTCTGATTTAAATATGAATATCCTGATATTTGCATACTCATCCCTCCGAAACTGAAGCTGAGATCTGCTTGAGATACAGGATTCTAGTGAACTCTTTGGAAACAAAATATACTGCAATGCTTTCATTATTAGCATTGCTGATCTGAAATTCTCTTTTTAAAAAGTGAGCTAATCTTTTTCCCCAGAATATGTGTATTACATAGTAGAGCTTCCTTGAATGATACCATAGACTGCAACAAGTAAAGACTTCTAAATATATTCCACTTGACTGGCTTAGATTTGTGACAAACACATCAATAAATAACAGAAATCCTGGCTCATTATCTCTAAAGACAACTAAATAATGATCCCTTTAAAGTCCCCAAGCTTGCTTTCACCTGTTGTAGCACTGAGTGGACCACTCAAGGTTTATATTTTCCTCTGAGCTGTGTTATGATCATTTGCAGCACTGGATTCTTCTCCCTCTTAGGTTGGATTTTAGGAAGGAATTGTTCCCTGGCAGGGTGGGCAGGCCCTGGCACAGGGTGCCCAGAGCAGCTGGGGCCGCCCCTGGATCCCTGGCAGTGCCCAAGGCCAGCTTGGACATTGGGGCTGGGACACTGGGAGAGTGGAAGCTGTCCCTGCCCATGGCTGGGGTGGGAGAAGATTATTTTTAGGTCCTTCCAGCCCAAGCCACTCTGGGATCCTGTGATCCTCACACTCTGCACATCATCACACAGACACACAACACAGCAGCCTGCTAGGAATTCCAAAGCCAGTGCCTGGGAGAGGATATTTCTTGTAGCCTGGAGCCGTGCTTTTAGCCAAGGTTTAACTCTCTGAATGAAGGGTTTTAATGGAATTTTTGTTGTCCTATTCTGCAGGCACTGCAGTCACAGAGATGTTATTTTCATTGGGATGACTGCTTGATCAAAGGGTTCTCATCACTCAGCCCCATGTGCCAAGCAAGCAGCGCTCCCGTGGCAGCCTCAGCCCCCTGCCCAAGGGCTGGGCAAAGCACCAGAACTGCCACAAGTAGCAATTCTCTTGAATAATTATTCAAAGCAAGAGGTGAAAATCTAGACAAGTTCTTGAAATGTGAATAGTGATTTGACCACAATAAATATTTTCCAGGCCCAGAGCAGAGGCATCTCAAGGACAAAGCTGTGGGCTCTGACACAGGTAATTACCCACACCAGTGGCATTCTTTGGAAATGAAGAAGTATGAGGCAATTTTGTCACCTAATGGGAAAGGGCATAAAGCCAGAAAGGCTCTATATGGTTTACCGAGAATATAAATAGAGTAATTGAATCATCACCCAGCACATGCACTGCTAAAGTTATCTATAGTGTGTATTCCTTTCAAAAATGCAAGGACACTAATTAAAAAGGAAGAGAGACATATTTCTTCAGAACGAGCCTTCAGCTACAATGTACTTTTTAATGCTATGAGTACCTTTGCTTTCATTATGCTTTCATTTATTTAATTTTATTTAGCCTTTTATGGTAAAATAACTGTAGGCATTATTAACAATAATTCTAACATTTTAGGGAGTTACTTTGGTACATCATATAGTTATCTCTAACTTAAGGCTGAGTAAATTTTGGTAAGTTTGAGAAAGAGAAGGAAATAAGCCTTTATGGAAGTTTAAACAAGAGACACTCAGGAATATTAACCTTTTCTGCTTGACCCTTTTTGCTCTGGTTTAGTGGAACTCAAACTATATTATCTATAATTTTTACACTAAAACACAGAATAAGGTGGTTTTTTGTTCTTTTTCACATAACTAGAGGGTTATACAGAGCTCCTCAGTACCTAATGGATCACTGAAGGTTTGCCATTGGGCAGTGGAGGGGCTGGTGCTCTTGTTAAACCAGTTTGCAGTTCTCAGCTGTGAAAGTGTACTCAAACATGGCACAGACTTTCCCAGTAGTGTTTGACACAGCTCAAGGATAGCAGGAGAGGTGATCCACATGGATAATGGCACGGGAGTGGCCATATTATGGGGAAATACAAATGAGAAAGGAGTGGGCTTGTGAAATAATCTCTGTTGAAGTGGCCTCAGTAGTTCAGGGCAAGCACAAAAATTCACGTATGGGATGCTGAGTAGAAGTTGGAGACCTCTGATTCCAAAGGGAGGCATGGAGGGCAGATGTGAATAAAGCATCTGAACAACACAGTAGAAAAAATAACAAACCCCAAAAGGTGAAAGAAAATAGTAAGTATCATTATGACAAGGAAAAGGAGAGAGATTTGCAGTAACATCTAAATTATATTTCTGTTTTCTAGCCATTTTAATTCCAGGCTGGACATCTGAGTTCTAGGCTGGCAAATATTCATTTGGTAAAGTTACACCGGAGTTGGAACACTGTTTAAAGCTTAAAACACAAAAGGTGGGGCATTAGGTGGTGTTTTAGAAGGAAATAAGGTTTCCTGGGGCATAAACCAGGGAAGGATTCAGGAAAGGAATACAAGCAGAAATGTACATGATTAATTAGTGCACAGAATATTTATTAGTTACTTTAGGGAAATGTAGAGGCTGGTTAAGCTGACCATATAGATATATAAATGATACCCAGATATATTAGCAAAGTGTCTTTACCATGACCAGCTACCACCTGGCCATCTGCACTTTGAACATTTGAATTAGAAGCTCTAAAGAAAGTAAGATTAATCTTAGAAATACTGTGTGGAGTTCACCTCATTTGAGAACCTGAGTTCATCAGTTCTGAGCAGACTGGGACTATCTGAAATCTCCACTGGTTTTTCTGCATGGGAGCAGGTCAGAGTAGGAGTTTGTAGCTCAGTATAATTTCAGTCAATCTTCTTGAGGCACATTTCTGTCGAGAATAAAGACTCTGAGCAGCATGCTCTGAACTTCTGGCAGAGGTGCAGGGCAGGAAAGAATAGAGCTATTTTCTGTCTGAAAAACAAAGGAGATGGTATTTTAAAAGGTGCATTCTGATGTGCTGGAGAGGTCTTATTTGCTTTTTGCTGAAGGCATGCAAGTAAGAAGGTTTGCTGCTGGACTCCTAGAACCTGATTCATATCCAGGATATCCAGCAATATTTTATCCGTGAAGGAAACATAAGAATAATTAAATTGCACTGTTAAGAAAATCAGTCTCAGGAAAGAATATGAGCTCTAGAAGTAATGACATTTAAATGTTTCTATAATAAATTCTGCTTTAATAAAAATCTTTATTAAAGCATTTTGATGTTTTGTCTATGAGTAAGGGAGGATTTCATTTGAGCTATAAATTATTTTACTTCAATCATGAAATAATTTCAAATAAAAATCCCCAAATATTCCAGACAACTCGTCCTCAATCAGTGTGCTTATTGTTATTATTATTGCTGCTAGTCATTAGAAAATTTCATTGCTAATTATAATACACAATAAGACCTTGCATATCTAAGTCAATATTTTTATGATTTAAATATGCATGAGGTATTAGCATATTAATAATATAATTGCTCTAAAGTGTGGGACAGATCCCTGACTGTTTTATGGCAGCACAATTCCCTTGGTTAGTCTGGAATTGAGAAAAACAGCGGCAAATCATGTCCTGGTACATTTGTTATGTCTTAATTTTTTTCTCTTCAGTCAATTTCTTTTCCTGCCTGTTCATTGCCTTATTTTTAAGTCAAATTCTTTTCTGCCATTTGAGGACACCGTATTATTTTCTGGATTTTTTTTTTCCCTCGTTGTTATATTTAGAAATTAAAACCTGTTTCTTCAATGATTTAAGGCATTACACTGATTCCAGAAAATCTGGAATCCTAATCAGGCTTGTGGTGCTTTGATTGACAAAAGTAGAGATCCAGTGGCATTTCAACACACTGTTGTTATTCTATGTATAATGAAAGTATCAGAAAGATGATTCTGAGGTTCTTTGTTTTCCTAACTTTTTTCCTTCCTTGTGGTGCTTGCCACAAGGAAATGGAAAACCTTCACTCAAAATCTCTTAGTAGCCTCTGACTTTTGCTGAAATGCTTGGTCTGTAGAGCAATGCTTTCTTTTTTAGAGATGCTTCCAGAGATCACAAAAGCTGTTTTTCTGTTGCTCAGTCATGCAGCTAGGTATAATTTTTCCATTTGTTTCATGTTTGTTTATTTTTTTGTTTGATTCCCATTGGCCTTTTGCACTTCAAACTTCAAACATTTCTAGGTTGTCATTTCTTGTAGTAGTTAATAAGTGCAGAGCTATTAAGTGCTAAAACTTTAGCTGTATTTTTAATTTTTGCCGTTGTAATGATTCCCCACTTTAGTACATAACGCAGGTAATTTACTGAGTGTGACTTAACTGCAAACTTCCTCCTGACTTGTGTCCTCATTAGAGATAAATAAGGCTCAATTACACAGTGCTTTATATCACAAGCACAGGTTGTTTTCTGCCAGAAATTGTTGGTCTCTGGATAAATGTGTGGGTGAAGGATGTTGGTAGTGTTGGGTTTTTTTATTGTTTTCCCTTAAGGATTTACTTAGGATTGGTGAATAAACTGGAGTTGTTTCATAATAATTGTCGTAAACCTGATATGACTTTAGCAGCTTCCAATATACAACTCTCTCAAGCAGCCCTACCAATACTTTATTTTGAATTATGTATTTGTTTTCTCATATTGATGTGTCACATATATCTTCATTACATGTCACTGTGAATATAAACCTTACTGTGGTCAAAATTAGATATGCAGAGCAGCCTCTTAAGGACATGCTGTTTGCATCCAGAGCTTCTGTCAAGAGACAAAGACCTCTAATTCTTACTCAAATATTGCAAAGATGATACAATTTCTGATTAGGATGTCCATTCCAACTTTCCAAGTCTGATCTCATCCATTTGCTCCCATTGTTTTTATATCTCATTTTTCTCTCCTCATGCATATTCCAAGCATTTGCAGCATCCCAGGATCAGTGAGGTTGGAAAAGCCCTCCCAGCCCACGGAGTCCCAGCTGTGCCCGATGCCCACCTTGTCCCCAGCCCAGAGCTCTGAGTGCCACCTCCAGCCCTTCCTGGGACACCTGCAGGGATGGGCACTGCAAAGCTCCCTGGGCAGCCCCTGCCAAGGCCTGAGCTCCCTTTCCATGGGCAAATTCCTGCTGCTGTCCACCCTGAGCCTCCCCTGGCCCAGCCTGGGGCCGTTCCCTCTGCTCCTGTCCCTGTTCCCTGGCAGCACAGCCCGACCCCCCCGGCTGTCCCCTCCTGCCAGGGACTTGTGCAGAGCCACAAGGGCCCCCTGAGCCTCCTTTTCTCCAGGCTGAGCCCCTTTCCAGCTCCCTCAGCCCCTGCTGGGGCTCCAGCCCCTTCCCAGCTCCGTTCCCTGCCCTGGACACGCTGCAGCCCCTCCAGGGCTCTCTGGCCACGAGGGCCCAGAGCTGGACACGGCCCTGGAGGTCGCTCAGCAGGGCCAGCACAGGGGACGGGCCCTGCCCGGGGCCTGCTGCCACCCCAGGGCTGGCACAGCCAGGTGCCATCGGCCTCTGGCACACCTGGGCTGTGCCCAGCCCCTGGCACCAGCACCCCCAGGGCCTTTCCCCAGCAGCTTTCCAGCCCCTCTGCCCCAGCCCAGTTCCATGGGGTTGGGCTGAGCCCAGGGCAGGAGCTGGCCCTGTCCCTGCTGTCCCTCACAGCCCTGGCCTCAGCCCACGGATCCAGCCTGGCCAGATCCCCCTGCAGAGCCTTCCTGCCCTCCAGCAGATCCACACTCCCACCCAACCTGCTGTTATCTGAAAACTGCCTGAGGATTCCCCCAGTTCCCTCATCCAGATCATCCATAAAGATACTGAGCAGGACAGGGCCCAACACTGAGCCCTGGGGGACACCTCTGCTGCCTGGAGCCAGCTGGATGTGGAACCATTCCCTGTGTCTGGGTCAGGCCATCCATTTCTTATCCAGGGAAGGTGCACCTGTCCAAGACATGAGCTGCAGCAGCTCCAGGAGAATGCCATGGTAGACAGTCACAGACTTTGCTGTGAAGTCCAGGTAAATGCATCCACAGCCTCCAAATCACTCTCTGATGCAATAGGTGTGCTCCGTGTAACGGGCACTCGTGTTATCCTTTACATGGAACTTCTCCTACCTCTTCTAGCATTTTCTCTTTGGAGCCCATGCCAGTGAATAGAAGTGGTGACACCAAGGTGCAGTTTCAAAACATCCCCATTGTGATTAAAGACAAAGTCACTGTTCAGAGTGATTTGGAATAACCAGAAAGCCTTGAGTTTTGGGGTTGTTGAGTTTTTGGAAAGGTGGCATGAGGGATGGGGTGTGTCTTTACTTCCCAATCCCTCCCAGCCCCAAGGTGAATATGAATTTCTTTCAGCATCCTCTGCTCCCTCCAGGACAAACTTAGAGCTCTCTCAATGTGGCCCATGGTCTCATTCTCATTGCAGCAGAGGATAACTTCTCTCTTATCATGCACAGCTAAATCTAAATAGAACAGAGTCTTTTGATTTTCCCTTATAAGCAGGGTTGTGGTAGAAGAGGCCCTTTTCACACTTACGAACTATGTTTGAGGGTATATTTTGCTTTTCTGATCCAGTCTCTCCTTTCCAAGCCCTTTTGATCTGTCTGTGCACTCAGACAAGGCAATATCATGCAAATACGGCAAGCAAAATAAGATACTTCTGCAGAAAATTACAAACCTTTCTGGGTTTTGCAAATGGATCTTACAATTCACAGAGTATCAGAGGTAATTACAGAGTAACTATTTGTGAAGCTGCTGAAAAACGGCTGGGCTTCATGGCATGAAAAATAGCAGAGGTTGCATCTGAATGTCAAATTACAGCCTGACCTCGGATCAGCAAAATGAGGGCTAACTGATTCTATCAGCATGCATTGTACCTGTAAGAAAGGAATAGACTCTCTTTTTAAAATTTGAGCTTATTATCAAGTTTTATAAATCAGTGTTGATCCTTTGAAGTTAACAAAGTACCCTGTTGAAATCCCTGGTTTAATTTAAAGTATATTTATATTTGAAACCTTAAATTATTTCAAATGTAGGAAATAATTCAGTATTGCTACTTAGAGTCGCAAACAAAGAACTGAGTGCAAGGCTAGGTGGAATACCATTTATAAAAAATAGAAAAATTGGTCTTTTTGGAGGCATGTCTCCATTTTCTGCAAATATTAGGTAATTGATTCAGGATCTGATTGGTTCTGGGTTATATGAAATAATTGTAATGTCTTATGTGCACTTATGTAAAAATAAATAAAAAGAAATCCTGCAGAAAAAGAAAGTGATTGAGAACAGGACTTGAAGACTGTGGTGTATTTAATTAACATTTTCTGGCATGGTATGTTTCAAAGAAATTTTAATCTTTTTTTTTTGTTTTGTTTTGGTATTGTCAGCAGCCTGAAAGTAAAATCGGTCCTTTAGTCCCAAGTGATACATCTCATATATTGAATAAAGGGAGGTTAGTGTGGCCTTCCTGAGTCACCTCTTTACAGATGGAGTTGCTGAACTTTGGGAACCTCCTAACTCCAAATTCAGCTTTGAGGAGGTGGATGATATTAAGCCACTTCTTGATTAAACCTGTGACAGTCTCTTGGTGAGGAAATAGAAATAGAAATAGAGTGTGACAAAGCTTTGCTCTTGCCTCATTCATCCTTCTGGAGCCCACAGTGAAATAAACCCAGGGAGCTACTGAAAGGAGACAAAACTTCTCAACTCTGTTATTATTTCTCTCCCAAAGAATGACTTAAGGAACAAACCTGAGAAATATGTTCCACATCCTTTCCTTTCCGCGCCCCTCCCACACACATGTACACACAGACACTCGCCACAATCTGTGCTCCTCCGGCGTGTTCCATGTGCTAAAGAAATACAAATTGAATAATAATTAGGAGACTGTGTTTGTTTCTTGTCTTAGCAGCTCGCACAGGAACCTTCCTGCTAAGTACTGATATGTTTATATTGTTATTTCAATAATCCACAACTTCTCATCCTTTAAAAGTACAATCATTTCAATGGGGAATCTAAATCTTTCTGGTGAGCAGTTCTGTCTGGGTTTTTAGTTTGGTTGCTTGAATTTTATCCTAGCTCAGAAATAGCTTGTGTTCTGGTATTTTTAAGAGAAATGCTGGCAATTACTGCTGTCTTCCTGACAATTTTGCTGTGGGTTTCAGGCATTCAGCCTCTCTTGAATCAGATCATTACCCAGTGCTGCAGACAAACCAGCCCAGTATGCTGCACTATGTGATTTCTAGAGTTAAGTTTCAACATAAATAAAACTTCCTTTTCACAACAGCATCTGTGTATCTAAGGATTCTTTAAGTCAGATTTGTCAGTTTTATATGACAGAAAGATTGTTATAAGCTGTGGCATTCTAGAAGTAAAGGATTGCCTAAAGAAAACAATATCATAAACTCTAACAGGAGAAATAAACCAGTCCTGCAGATTATCTTAATAAAGTCATGAGATAAAACTTTGATAAAGTCATGGGGACTGGATCTGTTAAAATACAGCTTAATAAGTTTGAAATATAAGGGATGTAAACCAAGCACGGTTGTTTTTATTAAATCAGTGATTCAGATTTTGTTTTGATTTCTTTCTTTGTTAGGACTTTACTTCTAATTTCAAGTATTGTTATCATAGAGATTTCATTGAATCAGATAAGCATGAACTGTCCATTTCTAAACCATGTGATGGTGATGATGATAATGATATTAATAATCGTAATAATAATAATAATAGTAATAAATGGGTTATTTTATAGGAATCTACTTTCTAGTCAGGTAAAATTTAGGTATAATGCAAGACAGCTAATGACTTTTAAAGAGAATGTTGAAGTGATTTTGGATGATTTAATTACCTAAAGGAAAACTGAACTAAACTGGATTTATTTGGGTTAAATAAATAATAAACTTAATTTTGGGCCACAATAATTCTCTTTATCTCAAAAACCATTTTATCTCCTTAGGAGATAAAGGGATAAAGGAGTGAAGGGAAGACAGGAGAAAAATTTTAAGCAAGTTTATGAAGACTTTAAGTTTTTATGGGAGTTGAAAGCTGTGTTATATTTGGTTACTTGTGGCACAAGACCAAAAATTATATTTATGAGCTCTAGTTACTCCTAGAAACTCTTGCTGTGTGCAGTAGCAATGTTGACAACACTCAGTGTTTTGTAGTACAAATTTCCTACAATACAGACATATCTCAGGCAGGATTTTTTCCAGGAAGGATGAAAAATGTTGATCCCAATAAGAAGTGGTAAAACATGGGATTGTAGCCTCCAAAAGTTCAGGTTTGGAGATACTAAGTTGCTTGATAATCTTTGTTTTTTTGTTTTAATTTGACTTTGGTTATTTAATCTGCCTCATGATTTTGGTATCAAACTCTACAGCATTTTTAAATCCTGAGTAGGTTTCAGTGAGATACTCAGAGGAGTACCAGCAAGTTGGGTATTTCAAGCATTTAATGTTCCAGTAGAGTCTTGTCAACTGGGGAGAAAGCAGAAGAGCTTTTTACGTGCTTATAACCCTTGTAAACCTTTCAATATGCATTTTTAGCCCCAGATGGATTGTCTATAATTTCTAGAAGTTTATTTATCAACCCAAACTAAGTTCCACTAGTTATTTTTGCATTGAGTCTTTCTTTCCTTGGATCTTTCTAGATGGTCCTTTCTGTGTGTGTGTGTTATGTGCTCATCTGGATCTTACTGCTGGAGTTCAGAAATGTTCTGTGCTCATCTAGACACAGACTGGTGTCCCCAGATGACCAGCTAAGTCCTCCTGTGCAGCCTTAGCTTGAAAATAATTTTATTTAACTAGACTAGTGGAAATTTTCTCCATATTTTTTCAGTCTTGCATCTCAGAGTGTTAAATTTTCAAACAAAGCTGATGTTTCTCAAGTGACAGCCCTAATGATACTTTTATATTGCAAAATTCAGACTAGGTCTTTTTAAACTGTGCATCACGATAAATGCAGGTAATAAAGCTTTTAACAATCTGGTTAGTTCCTTAGAGATTGTCTAACTTTTTAAAATGATTTTGCATAAAATAACAGATTGGAAGTTAAGCAATCAGTCTTGCCGTCCACCTGGTGCGTGCAAGAAGATTCAATCTCCCTTAAATCTACTGACTGAGGGGTTTGTTGGGCAAAAAACCAAACTAAACAAAAACCCACGCAGTCATTAAACTCAGTTTTGTTCCTAGTTTAGAAAGAACTGACTGTCCATTCATACAAATGAGGAAAAGTTCTGAGTGTTGAATACTAAAGAGTGCGACACCCGAAGGCCTGAAGGGCAGTGACCATGCAGCCGTGGCAGTTTGTGACCAGCCTGGATCCTCTTCAATCCCTTCCTACTCCCAGTTCGAGCACTTGGGGCACTGCCAGCAGATCTGGGTTTAAGCTTGGACATCCTCTGTACATGTTTTACCACCCACAGTCTGCAGACATGAAATGAAATGGGCAGATGGAACTATTTCATCCTGACAGCGCTTTCAGCCTGGGTTTGCTTAGCGAGGACTCGGCGACGTGTTTGAATAGGTGTGCTCAGGGCGAAGGAAAACACTTAGCACAAAGTGGAGTTTCCCTGGGAAGTCTGGGATGACAAAATAATGCAGTGTATTCAGGGTGGTGGGCAGTACAAGCTGTAGATACATTTCCCTCTCCCTCTGTCTCTTTCTCAACAACACATGTCACAGGAACCCTAAAAGGCAGTGGATATCCCCTTGTTTGGAGATTTCCAAACCGGCTGGGTCTCTCTTGTGTTTAGTAAATTAATTTTTTAAATGAGTTCTCATCAAGTTTCTAATTATAATATCTTTAAATTTAATGTTTGTATTTCTGATGAAAGACAAACATTTTGGGGGCAGTCACAAGGGACATGAATAATTTCTTTAGAAGCTTATCTAATTAATTACATTTCTCTGTAATGTCTTTAAAATTTGAACTGCCATCATTTCATTAATTTAGATAAAAGTAAATCTTTAGTGTTTAAATATGACACTAGTGCTGAGAATTCTGATAAGCTTGAGATTCATT